GTGGTTATATATATATATATATATAAATATATATATATCCTGATGAAGTAACTTTGTTTTCTAATACAGGAAGAAAAACAGTGAGAAAATAACTGACACACACAGAACCAGCCACTCAAGGGGTAGGAGAAACCCAAACACTGTCTAGAGAATCCACCTCCAGACACATCCTTGGAAAAAAAAACCTGATGAGAGAACGATCGGGAAGATTTTCACTGGTGTTCCTTTCCTGGAAGTTTCTGTCTCTCAGAGCAGCACAGGCATGGCAAGTGCTGTGGCTCAGAATTCATCCCTGCAGTGTATTTTGCACATCCAATTGATTATCCATGACTTCTTAGGCAAACACAGGAATGCAGGGAACATGTCAGCTGTTATATATGGAATACTTGGGCCTTTCACTCCTTACTTTACATTTAGAAAGAGGAGCAGATAATGAGCTCGAGCATCACCTTGAGAATAAATTTTACTTGCAGGTTCAGAAGGATCTCTGGCTCTTCATGTGTTCAGTGAACCAGAACTCCCAGGTAGCTCAGAACATTTGTTTTCTGAGCTGTGTTTGTCTCCAGAGCAATTGCCCTGAGTGGGCAAAGGCTTTAATGTCTTCATCCCCCCAGCCAGGAAGTTCTTCATGAGCTGAGAACTCACAGACTCAAAGCAATCCCTGCAAAATACAGAGGACAAGAAAGAAAAAAAAAAATAAGAAAATAAAAAGCTGTCCTTTTCCTCCCCTAAATTCCCAGAATTCATCTTCAGATTCATGCCTGTGGCTAAATAAAACTCAGACTGTAATATCACCCTTCTCTGTGTTTCATCTGAAATAATTGCTTGACAACAAACATCTCTTCCTCCGTGAGTATTCTGTGGTGAATTTATTCACATCAGGAAAAACACATCAGAGAGGTGTCTAGTTTGAAAGTTTGCAAATCAGACACCAATGGCAAACAAAATAGTGTGACAGCACAGGCAAGACACAACCTGGAACCATTCTGGGGACACACAGGCACCTCTCTCATCCACAGCCACAGGAAATATTAGACTGCCAAAAGTTTTGAAATCAAGAAGTTTTGACAAACCAGTAATTAACCCTAAGTCATAATAATAATATTAATAATAATAATGGGTAACAATATGTCATCAATCTCATTATCTTTTGGAGATATTTTCTGTTTAACACAATGGAAATGTTCCACTCTACAGTGTCCCAAGTGGTACCAGACACCCTTTTTACTGAGCCAATGAGCACAACCCTAATCCTGACCTTTCACTGCAGGGAAAAAGGTTATCCCAAAGGCAAGACAACCCAGCAGCCCCAGAGCAGGACATTCCACCAACAGATGGATCCTGACAACACCAACTTCTGGAATACAGCACCTGGAAGTACAAAGGGAATAAACCCCCCCCTTCTGTCAGGTAGAGCCTGTGTCAACAGGGATCACACGCTCACACTCTTGCTCAACAGATGTACTTGAACTAGAGATAAGGGATTCAAAAATCCAGGGAAGGAATGTGCAAACCCTGCGGCCTCCTGTGCCTCTTTCCAGGCAGGGAAGGGCTCTCCAGGCAGGAGCAGAGCACCTCATTCCATAGGAAGTGGGGAAAAAAAAAATGAGGAAAAATAATCTTACCCATAAACAATCCATTGTAGCAGCTGGGAGGACAACCTTGATAAAGCATGAGCCCAGATACAGCCAATCCAGACAGAAATCAGAGGATAAGAAGTACACTTACCACTGAATAAAACTGGAAGGAAATCTCTCTCCTGAGGAAGGATTTAAGACTCTTTTCCTTTTTTCAAATCTATGTCGCCACTGAAGCCCCATAAATGAATATTCCCTCGCAGATAAAGTGGCTGTCTTCACCTTTTGGCAGATTTACAAAACAGATCCTGCAGGGAGGTTTTGCTCTGTGAGCAACCTCCTCGAAGAGTGAGGAGAAACCAGGAGCTAAAATCACTTGCACAATCGTGTTTCACAACTCTTCCCACAGTGGCATTGGTGCTTCCCCTTCCCAAGTACAAAAATGAATAAATTTTCCTCCCTTTTTTTTTCTTAAGAGGGGAAAAACCCAATCCTGCTTATCCTTGGATACACAGAGAGTTCAAAACAATGGAGCCCTGTGTGCCCCACTCATCACACAGACACTGCAACAAGAGTGGCAAAGAATGCACAAAGTGTGTAATTACTGTTTCAGGAGATAATTCCATTATTAATACATCCCCAAAGATTGCAGGCACACAACTGTGCTTTAATTAGATGGTAACTGGAGGGGGTTTGAATTCATGAGGTAATAAATATATTTTGGACTAACAAACTCCAAGGCTGAAGTGTTTATTAATCTAGAATATAAAGATTACATAGTTGATAGGAGACAACCTCAGGTTGTGCTGAGATGCCTGTTGTTGATGGATTTTAAAAATTACTATTGTCTGCCTTTTGGGAGCTAGATCAGAAAGCCAAGATTGCTGGGGATGGTACTGGAAAACACGACAAACTGTCCAACAACTCTGTGTTCTCACAGGCAAAGACCATTGAAGCCTGAGCAGATGTTGTGTTTTTAAAGTTTCACCTTTTAATCAATTTGTCACCTCACCAAGTGCTGCAAACAAACTGCCTTCTGACAGCCCTCAGTGCCTCATTCTGAGGGTAGAAAGGACAGATTCCTTTCCAAGACTAACAGATCCCTCCTCTGCTCCCCCCAAATCCTCAATTCCACCTCTGTTTTCCTGCTTGTGGATTCACCTGCAGGACCACACCACCACCACGTGAACAAGCACATCAATTTTCGTGTTCCATTGAATTTTCCTCCCCTTCCCATGGCTGTGTAAACTGTTTGCCTCCTACAGCACATTAAGGATTTGGAAACTAACTGTTCACTGTTGGGAGGATTTATATCCCAACCAGCTGTGCCAAGAAGTCAGAGGAATCAAATGGTCTAATCTATTAACTTGTCCTTGGGTACTTCCAACTAGAGCTTTATAAATTGCTGGAGAGTTCAGTCCATTTAAACTCCATTTCTCTGTTGGTTTGGAAGTGTCAGTGCCCCACACAGGCAAGACAGAAGACCAAATTTAGCCCAGGAAAATGTGGCCATGATTGAAGTCAAAGGCCAGGTTGTTTAAGCTAAAGGTAAATTTAGGCCTGAGGGAACTACAGAGGAAAAAAAGAATAAAGAAACATGAGGAGGAGTAACTTGTGGTACCTTGGAGAGGAAACAAGGTTGACAAATGCAGAGGGAATTCTGTCCATACCTGAGGGAGTGATGGAGCTGTGGCACTGCTGGACAAAACCAGGAGAATCCTGGATGTGCCAAAAGAGCCACAGCACCCTGGGCAGGAGCCAGGAGAGGAGGAAAGGGATGGGGCACATCCCATTTAATGGGAAGGAAAAACCCTTCCCTGGCTTCTCTGAGCCAGTCCATGGGGAGTGATGACAGTCACAAAGTTTCATTTCTGAGGGCTGTAAAGATTTAAAGATATTTAGGAAAATGTTTATTAACCAGCTTAGGTGATCCAAAGATAACTGGTCACATGTTCAGACACTTCCAGAGGGTCAGAGCAAAGGCCTCCCACCAGCTCTGGAGAAAACTCCCCAGATAATTCAGGGAAGATGATGAAGAGCCCTTTCCAAAGCTCCTGCTTTTCCATTCCCAGGTTTATAGACTCTCCCCAAGTGAAACAAGCCACAGAGCCAACTTTCCAATATTAAATCTCTAGGCAGCATGTTATTCACACAGCTTATGGAGATGTCTTTACCCTCTGGAAAAACAAAGTTTAAGAAAAATGGCTCTATCTTTGGGGAGCAGTTTAAGTCTCAGGATAACTACGTTAGGAAATCTCACTCTATTACTTCCTATCTTGCATTTTATTACTAGATTGGTAATAGGAAATTACCAAATAAAATTGGTATTTTACTTGGTAATTTTTTTCCATGGGCCTCGTCTAATATGAAAGATGGTGATCATCAAATTTATTCAAGTTTTCCTGTCAACAACATCATTAACCAAATCCCTCAATTTCAAAGTAAATAAAAGCATCTGGGCTTCTGCACAGCAAGACTGACTTGCATATTTAAGCCTCATATATAGATGAATCTGCACTGGACCAAATTTGCATATTAATGAAGGACTAATTGCTCTTTGCAGTCAATTTTATGCAGATGAATTTACTCCTCTCAGTACAATTTTCATAATGTTCAGAAAGAACCAAAAAATGTGAAACTTTTTAAAAGTACACAAATGTTAGACAATCAAGGAAGAAATATCATAATGACTTCAAACAGCTTTACATTAAGTTGTATATAATTCATCTTTTATACTGTTGCTTTATTTTAACAGCCTCCCACAAAGAACAGAACAATCCATGGAATAACTTCAGCCTATTCCCCCTCCTCGGTCTCAAATTTTAACAGCTTGTAACAAGCCATTATATTCTCTGGTTTCCAGCTGGAAGGATGGAGCCTGAATTTTTAGGAGAAGTTAAATTTGCTAAACAGGAATTTGTTTTCTCCTGGTCCCCTCCTCATGCCACAGGTCAGTCAGGATGCTTATTTTTAAGGAATTTCTACCCAGTTTTGTACCATTAAGAAAAAAACTCAAGGCCCAAATCCCTGTTTGGTCTCTCCTGGTCCAAAATACCAAGGAAAGGAGAGGAAAGTTCAGGGGAAAGAAAAACATCAACAAACACTGAGAGAAAATGGTAACATTAAGGGGGGAAGGAGAAAAGATAAATACTGGAGTGGAAGAGGAAAACAAGGGGAAATGGAAAGAGAGAAAAGTGATGATTCAATGTGTCTACTCAGGTCTGGGTAGAAGGAGGAAAACTGAAGGATTTGGGAGAAAGTTCAAGGCAAAGCGAACAAACAAAAGGCAAAAATGCAGCCACAAATGTAACCACAAAAAAGAAAAAGATAATGAAACCAGAAATGAAGTGAGAATCGAAGAACACGCGATGCATAAAGAAAGAGAGAAAAGAAGACACAAAAAAAATACAGTTTTTCCTAATTCTGCCAGAACAGAAGGGCAGAGTCAGTGGAAATGCATCAGGAATGTGAATTTGCATGTATAGCCTTCCTCCTGCCAAAGAAAAGAGCCTTATTTTAACTGTGAAGGCTGATAACCATAATATTGATATGTATCATAAAATCACTTACAGAAGATCATTTGAATCAGCAAAGGAACAGCACCAAAGTTACATCTTTAAATGACTTGGGGGCCTTTTGGGGAAGGTGCACAGTCACCACTTCTGCCACATCTCAGCATTTTCTGCCCTTCCCTCCAGCTTTTGCTGGTTTAACACGTGGTTTTGAGGCCCAGAGTACTCACACAGATATGGGATGGGTTTAGAGTGGTATCAAGAAGTCTTTTGTGGTTTTCCTCTATTTCTTCTCTAATAATTCCCACCATCCCACTTGCTCTCTGGACCACGGAGCACTGAGCTCCCACATCTCCTGTGATCCCATGACTTTGTTCCTGAGAAGCAATAAATGAAGAGATAGACAAATAAATCAATAATATTTCATGTTCAAAATTAAATAATCTTCAGTATAAACATCTTTGTCTGAGCAATCAAGTCTTTCCCAAAAAAGAGTTAGGAGCTCCTGAGCTTCTGAAGGAAGGTGGGCACAGAAAAGGTCCCTTTGCCAGCTCTCCTTTTGGTCTTTCCAAACAAAAGCCACAATATATGGAGCATTTTTAGGGATACATGAGCAATAAGGGCAATGGTTGTATCAGGCAAGATCCAGCCACTGCAGAGAGAAAAAAGGGGAAAGAAAAGAAAGGCTTTAGGGCAGAAGAGTTGGCAGAAAATCTCAAACCAAGGGGAAGGACAGGGAAAAAAGACCAAGAATCTTTCATTAGAGTTCAACAAAAGAACAGATCACAGAACAAAGACAAATAGTTATAAAATAATAACAGCAATAATTGGAAAAGAATGACAAATACTCCAGCAGGAAAATATTGGAATGCTGCTGCTGAAGAATTCTCACTGAGGAAACAGGGCTCAGTTCAGAGGGTCAGCCTGGAGCACTTGGCTTTTCAAGTTATTGGAAAACAAATTACAGCTCTTTGTGCACTTTGAGTTCTGGATTATTAACTCAAAATGTTTTGCTCATTGGCAGGAATGAAGGGAAATGTATCTCCTTTATAATTTCTGCACCCAGCATTTGAAAATCTGCCCTGGGCACCCTCCTTTCCTTCCCCCAAAACTGTCTGGTTGAAGTGATTAATGCTGTGTGAATGTAAACACAGATAATTATTCAAACAAGAACAAGATGTTCCTCCCAAAATGACTGGCTCTTCAGGGGCTGAGGTGCCTAATTCTAATCACCAAGAAAGGTTAGCCTGACCAGATTTAATTAGCTACTTAATACAATAATAAAGGTGCATAAATAATGGGTGGGAAAGGGGCAGCACTGAGTCCAAACAGGTACCTCCAGAAGCACCAAGTCCAGGCTGTTATCCCATGATTGCACTGATGGGAGAATTCCCAAGTTTTTATAGCCACTGGACATAGTTAAGCACTTGGTTATGTGGAACATCACCTGTTTAATGTATAGTTTTAATTATTATTAAACTAGCAAAAAAAAGCCCCAAGAAACCACATTCCTAAAATTCCATGAAAAAATGAACCCAGTGGTATTTCTGTGCTTCAAATTTATAGATGAAGTCAGATGGTTTGTGCAGATTATTTGAGGACTACAGCCTTAAAATGAAGTAAGTTACTATTTCCTCCTATATAAATATATATATGGAAATATCAGACTGATATTTTCAAGACTATTTTCAGGGACAAAAACTACTCTTACTCTGGAATATTCCTTAGTAATGAAACAAAAGCTTTCTCTTACAATAATAAAGTAATTTGCAAGTATTTAAGTGTTACATATTGAGAATGCTGCAAAATACATCCCAATTTCAAAGGATGTTGGGACATTTGATTAGCCTTGTACCTCTGGATCACGTGGTCAGCACCTGCAGGTTGAGCCAGGTGGGATCTCAGCATTCCCAGATTCTGAGGATTCATTTGGAGGTGTCAAACCTTCCATTTTCAGTCAGTGAAAGTTTAAACAGCCCTTAAAATAAACAACCCGGTGCGAAGCCAACGGATCCAATATTGATTTATTCCATTCATAAAAAGTAACAACACCATGGTAAATCCAATCTAGTCAATGAGAAGTTTATGAGCTTAAATACATCAAAAGGGCAATGAAAGCTAATATATAGTGATTAAATAACAATCTGTGAGGGGAAGACACCCAACTTTCAATTCCATGGCGCTGGAATGACAAAAAATGGGGGTATGAATTGTTTCAGAGGGCACTGCAGCCATTTGCCCTTTTTAAGAGCTTGGAAGTCCACAAGGCAAGATTAATTTATAATTTAACTGAAGTGCATCTCAAATAAGGGTTTTTGATTAAAATCTACATTTCTGTGCCTCCTGGCAGTGACAGTATTGCTGGAACAGGACATCAGCTGCAACACCAGCGATTCTGGAGCAAACCCTAAACTGTAAATCAGTTTTGTCCTACTTTAATATTGGTTTAACAATGAAAGAAGAACTTTGGTGTTTAATATTTAAATAGTGTAATTATTCCTTTAGAGCTAAGCCCAGGAGGACCCCTGTGGGTACACAGTGTGAAACAGCAACGAGGAGAACGTGGGTTTGCTGCCTGAGGAGGCTTTGGGTTGTAGGGGCCAGTTGGAAGGGGCAATTCCTGAGCTGAGGAGATGCTGAGGGAACCCTTCAGCAGGGAAATGCTCTCCCACAGACCTGAACTACAAAGCTGTCAGAGCAGGGAAGTGTGAACAACACCCAGGACAGAAATCATCCCCAGCTTGGTTTGGAAACCCAGACACAGGGCCTGCTTTCTTTAGAGTTGTTTTTGAAATCAGAATCCCTTTTCATTTCCCCCTCCTTCCTACCTGTTGTCACTTCAGGATGAGTGAACACAGCAAAACGTGGATTTTTGGGAGGAACACCTCAGTCAGGAGCTAAGGATTGTCTCTGAACAGTCAGTGGAGTAGGAATATCCAGATCCAATAATTTTTCAGGTCTGGGGGAAGGTTAGAGAGGAAGTTCTGTACCTGCACTCCAACCAGGAGCACTGGGTGATTCCAACTGCCACTGCCTGTTTTTCCAATCATAAGAGCTCTTTGGAGCTCTCCAGTTCCAAAACTGGACATGTTTGTCCAGGCAGATCCAGAGGATCCACGGATTACAAGGATTGCATGGAGACAGAGCACACACATATGTGTAACAAAGCACAGGGCTATTAATCACCTCCCACAGATGGATCAGTCCACTCTGGACATCTCTGCAGGCCTGTGAAATCAGGATGACGTGTCTGGAATTCTCCCTCTCTTCCCCACTGCTGAAGGAACTCAGGCAAATGCACGTTGGCAGCTCCTCTAAGGATTCCAGCTTCCCCATTTTCCAGAATAACTTCCAGCTGCATTAAACACAAACACACAAAAAAGAGGTAGAACAAACACTAAAGGCTGACTCAAACACAAAATCCACAAAACCTGGGTAATTCTGCAATGGAATCATAAGCAAAGCACCATAATTTTGTTGGATTGTCCATGGGACACATCAATCTTTTAGGAGCAAAGTGGTGTGGCTGCACTTCCTGAGGAAACTGGGGAATGGCAAATACATCAAGACACCTCTAGACCTACTGGTTCCTACCAAATGCAGAAAAATCCAGGCTCCTGGGGGATTATAAGCCCCTGTTCAGACCAGCCCTGCCAAATGCAAAGTGTTCTGTGTTAAAGGATCCTCTTATTCCACAGCTCCTGCTGCCCCAGCCCTGAAGTGCATGGCTGCCTCCCTCCTTGTATATTCATTTATTTGTTGCTGGGCATAAGGAAACCTTAAATCAGAACCCTCTGAAATACCAAACAAATCCATTTCCAATCTAAATTTTAATTCCCTATTTTACTCCAGCAGTGCATTTTATCAGCAGGAATTACTTGGAGGAATATGCAATACAGAAGCTCTGTAGAACAACCGAAGGCATGAGAATGAATATAAAAATACTTACTTGGAAACTTCCATTTATTTTCCTCCAAATTGTAAAAAAAAAATAAAAAATGTATTTGGTTGGTAGAAATAATGTGCAGACACAGAAACAGAAATATGAGGTGACAGAAGGGAATGGACCAGATCCTTGTGAATCAACTCCCTTTTACCAGGCACATAAAACTAAAGTGGCCTCAGCTTGATGTGACTGATATATCTCCAAAATGGATGTTAGACACGAAATAGCAAAAAGGCTGCTGAGCCAAATTTATCTTAGGGAGATTTTTTTTTTTTTGCTATTATTCCCTTTCTACATTTTCAAAATATCCCTTAATGCTCTTTCCTTTCAGAAGGAAATGTAAGTCTCTCAAAATAATATTTCCAAGCTCAGCTGCAATCTCCTCCATGGTAATTCGCTCTGGCTGCTTGTTACTCTTTGTGAGGAATAGATCTGCTGCAGAGGAGAAAACAACTCTGTTCTCCTGATATACTTCATATTCAAATCATTCCAAAGTGCAGAAAGGAGAAATGACTTAGATAAGGGCATGGGAAATGTGGAATTCATCCATGGCTTCTGTGATGAGCTCACCAGTCACTGAGAGCATTAAAATAAGGAGAAATTATACAGACCTAAATTCCAGAGTTATTATCACTACTTCCTTTAAAATGAATAAATAATTAGAATTATTTACCTTGCACTTCAGAAGAGTCCACTGACAAATATTTTGGGTTAATCCCTACCTCTGATTTCCATTAAAATACCTTTAGATTGCTACTTGGAGATATGAGACTTTCAAAAGCACCTCCATCTGAGTTTTCTCTAGTTAAGAATTCCAACTTCTTTCCTCTTTGTAACTGATTCAAAGACAGATGTAACACGGGCATCTCTTAATACCTCCTCCCTGAGATAATAACATTGTTTCTGTGTAGCTTTTCATAAAGTTTCCAGGTGAAAACAACAGTGTCCAGTGCAGAGGGTCTGTTTTTCTGGTTCTTGCTCCCACAGATTCATGGGATGGTTTGGGCAGGGACACCTTCCCCTAGCCCAGGCTGCTCCAAGCCCCATCCAACCATCCTTGGACACTTCCAGGGGTGGGGCAGCCCTGAGTCCCCCAGGTTCTGGAGCCCCTGCAGGTGAGGGATGAGCTCCAGGTCCCATCCCTGGCTGTGCCATCCCCCCCGTGCACAGCGAGGCTGCAGCAAACTGGAACCATGGGGTAACTCTCAGGATTAAGATGAGCCATCAATAATCATCTATTTTAAGTGCAGCATCCTATAAATCCTCCTAATTAGTAAACTAGATGTCTTCTTTTTAGCAAACAATCCCCAGCCTCCCTCCTTATTTATTTCCCTGGATTCAATTATGTTTGCACCTGCTGGCCCAATCACCTAAATGACACATTCTGGATGGAAGGGAGAAGCTGGGCCATAAACAATAATTTCATTAGAGTTCAATTTAAAATACTTGCCTGCACCTATTTTCTCTGCTTTGTGGAGAATGTTGATGCTGTTTCCTCCTCTGTGGCTCTGCTCTCCTGTCAGGAGACACAGCAGCACCAGTAAGAGTTCCTTGCTCTTCCTGATTTATCCTTCCCTGCCGACTCCATAGGAAGCAAAGCTGGGATTTTCCTGCAGGGGAAGGACTGTTAGAATAAAGAGGAAAGAAATTATTTCCAAGCTGGACTGAAAAACTGATAAAGGTCCAAAAATTTTAGTTGGTTGCTAAAAAGAGTCTTGGTAAAATAAAGGTGAGGAAATATTTCTTTGGAACTTAAAAAACAGAGTTAACAAAACTCAGTGTAGTGACAGGAGATGGTGAAACCAGATTCTTGAGCTTTCTTCCCACTGTTACAGGAGACATCAATCCACAGTTTACTTTATAACTGTGGAAAAAAATCCATTATGTTTTCACATAACTAATTAAGATACATACAAGCACAAGTTATTCTCCAGCAACTCACTTATTCCACAATCCTGCATCTTTCACTTCACCAGTCCTCTCCCAGATTTATTTCCCATTGACTTTTGCAGCTGGAAAACGAATGTTAGGCCAATATTGGGCAAAAGTATTAATTTACCATACTTACATTGCAATAAACAGCAATTTGGGTGACAGACAGGAGTTAATGCACCTGTGAACAGCCACATGAACACGTGGGGAGACAATTACACCACCTATGGAAAGGTTCAAATCAGAGATCAGAGAGAAATGCATTTTCCAATTATATTTTAGCACTGTGGCACTTCTGCATGATAGAGAGCAATTACTGTGTCATGATCTAAACAATGACACACAGAGCATTTCTGCTGGCCAGGATTTCCTTGCTCAATGCCTTTTATCTGCCCTCATGTCTTCCTCTGGTAGATGGGCACCTGAGGGACCCTGGGCAGGACTCTCAGATGTTTTGCTGTAGTGTTCCAAATTTTCTTAGGTGTTAAAAGGAAAAAAAAATAACATTCTGTTGCATACAGAAATACAGGACAAACCCTGCTCAGCTGCTGGGATGCATTCCAGAGATTTAAACTGAGCTGAGTGACATAGAGGGACAGACATTTCCTACTGGAAACAGGGAAGACAACACCAGACTTTGAACCATGCAATTAACAATGAACATGTTTAATTGTTATAATGTCTTCTGAAAGTATGAGGAAGGTATAACGAGTCCAAGATGAATTCCAAGTGTTTCACTTCATTAGTAGTTCTTGCTTAAGCAATAAGTACTTTTGTAAGTATTCTTCCATTAATTCTTTCCATTAATGAAGAGAAGTAGTGCATGAGCTGGAACTCTTAAATTAAGATAATCATTATCATAAACAGCTGTGTTATTTGACAGTTTGAGGGATATGGGTGTGCTGTGATTTAGTCCAGCAGCTTCAGTTCAGCTGAAGGCTCAGACCACAAGATTAATTGAATTAAACAGCCTTACCCTTGTCTCTAATCCTATCAATCATAAAATCACCATTTAAGGACAGAATCTTTAGGGGTTTTTCGTGACATAGGTGCAAACAGCTGCTACTCCCCTGGGTTTAAGTGCACCCCTGCAAGAGCAGTGGACATGACAGCAAAGATAACACGTGTTGCTGAACAAGCAGCCCTTTTATCTCCTCTGAGCAGACCCCAAGGAGCTGGAAGTGTCTCTTACCAGATCCTGCAGACAAAGCCTCGAGCAGGTTGGAAGTCAACCCCTTCACACTGTCATGTACCAACTTCTAATACACCCAAACCTCTGAAAAATAAGCACAGAGCCAACTGTGATCCAGGCATGAAATGCAGGGGGAGAGGGGAATTCTTCCATGGAAATGAAGTGCCATGTTTGGAAACTAAAAGGACCTAAAATTCATCTATGGATTTCCTCCTACACCATCCCAGTGTGGCTGCTGCATTTACTCTGACTTCACCGAAAAAAAATGGCTAAATTTGTGCTTGCTTCCCAAAAGAAAATTAATTTTCAAATTAGGAGGAGGAGCACTCTAATTTCCTTCCAGAAACCTTTGCCTTCTGAATTAGTATCTGCATCCTAATTTTTCCAGCCTCATTTTTATACCCTCTTCACCAAGCTGTTGCAGTCTGTACCTGATTTTGGAGTAATTAGGGGGCACAGGATATCCATAATGTCAGTACCAGGATACCAAAAATCAGCAACTTTTGCATCCCTCAGGTACTGATTTTTCAGTGTTGCTGTTGCAGACAACACTGAGAGCCTCAGGAATGTCTGGAAAAACAGGCTTGGTGCTGCTGAGGTCAAAGGAAAAATCTGTCCCTGATTTTAACCCTGATAAAATTATTGACACCCGTTTCTGTGTGATACACATCCTACAAATTCTGTAGGGAATGACCATAATTCCATAAATTATAAACATATCAGGATCTCCTCTCCAACTCATTAAGTTTTATTAATGACCTATATGTGGGCATAACTGACACAAACAATTATTTTTAAAGCTGGTAATATATTTAGTCATTTAACCCTTAAACAACAACAAAAAAAAATCCTTTCCATACTTGTAAAGTCTTATAGGCCTAATCTGGATAATCTTATTACATGTCAAACATGGTCTCACCCATGGATAACACTTCCTAATACACTAACACATCTTTGTTAATACAAAATCTCTTTTTGTTAGAAAAGAAGTAAAAAAGCCCCCCCAGAGAATTTTAAATATTGTCACCAAACTAAAACCAGCAAGTAAATATTAACTCTGCGAAGTGCAAGACAAGTTTTATTGACCACTGAGGTAAATATTGCCTGAAATTAAGCAAATATTTATTTGCTGACGGGAATGGGATGGATCCCCTTCAACACGACAAACAAAATTTTGCCTCCTACATTTCTGGGTTTGTATTTATCCTGAAAGGTCTGGAAGGAAACACCTGGAAATCTGTCTACAGTGGCAGTGTTTTTTAAAAATCAAAATTGTCTTTTCTTAGCAATTAAACTGGATGTGCATCCAGAGGGCTGGAATATTTTGGCCTCGTACAAGACAGAGGTTTAACAAATTGATTTCAGACAGAACATGTTAACTCACTCCACTAAGATCCGCCCAGGTAACAACACCCAAGACTCCTGTTTAACTCAGCTCTGAAAAGGTCAACAGTAAGTCAGTGAAATTCCGTTTTATGGGTTATGTTAGAATGCTAATTTGGAGTTTAACCTAAAATATGTTACTAAATATCACACACACAGTGGGATTCTCGGGGCTGTTCTGTGCAGGGCCAGGAGCTGGACTTTGGTGATCCTGGTGGGTCCCTTCCAACTCAGGATATTCTACAACTCTATGATTTACCAAGGCAAGTAAAGAATAATTAAGGCTATAACTCTTAGCAGGTACTACAGATGGAATATAAATTAACAAGCTTATCTACTCCTTCCTGGTAAATCCACTCGTGTTTACACACAGGAGAATTCCTTGTTCAACTGAAGGATTCACCCATTCTGATTAAAACGGCAGATTGGGAAAAGCCTAATTTTGAGGAACTTCAAAGATTCTATTGAAAATTCTGGCACCTTTAAGGGCACCCATTAGAGGATCCCAACGTCATGATCATTCCATCTTCTGACCTAAATACCTCCGCGATGGTGCTTAGGAGCAGTTAACACACACCTCCGAAAATTCTGTGACAGCTGAATATTTTTCGAGCCGCTGCATTTAACAGATCCTTCAACGCCACTGCAAGAAAAGACCAGATCAGAAAACGGCTTCTCCACTTCGATCTAATGACCAGGGGAACGGCTCTTTGCTGCAGATAAAGACAGGAGCTGAGCACCCTCCTGTGCAGGGAGCAAAAACTGCAGCTGCCCTTTGTGGCTCCGCTGGCTCGTTCTCATTCAAGGCTTTATCTGTGTAAAAATAAACAAGACTCCGGGATCTAATTCACCAGTTTTGTAACGATTCTATGACACCATTGCGGTGGAATGACTCTCGGTTTAGAATGACTTAACAGGAACGAGCACACTGAGAGCTTGTAAGATTTCTGGAAACCTCAGGGAACAGGGTGATGTCATTGCAATGTAAAAATATCTGGTTCAAATTCCTCGCGAGTCTCCTTGACAAAGCTCCCAGGATCAGAGTTCAGCGGTGAAATTCAGCTCCTCTGCCATCACCCCCGGGGGGAGTTTTCAGAATAAATAATAAGATTTATAAGGTCTCTCTTCCTGCAGTCCCTCAGATTTGGGAGCACAGGAGTTGTTTTCTCGTGCTTGAAATACAAACTGAAGGAAGGGTTGGGTAGTTGCAGGAGTTAGTTTGAAAAAAGACTGAGCATTCAAAGCTCAGGAAATATTCAAATTTTAAAGGTTATTTGAGCCTCTTGGCAAGACTTTCAAATCCATCAAAGAATTTAAACTCTCGTAGTTTTGCAAAAGTCTTCCATACTCAAGCAACATTTTGGGTAAAATGAAGACAACCAATAAAGCCTTTGAATATTCAGGACATTCTGCTATTCTACAGACTCTTACAAAAAAACCCAATTTTTTTGTCATATCATTAACTAAAATTGCTCTCCGTGTATCTGAGATCAGCTCCTTTAAATCTCACCACAGATGTATCCTGTACATCTCATTTTAAAGCACCAGTTCCTTCCACACCTCCTGCTGAAAAAAAAAAAAAAAAGGTGATACAAAAGATGCAGATTGTAATCCCTCAACCTGCCCTGCAGGAAGATTTCTGCAAGAGCTCCTCCAGGAATGGGTATTAGGATACAAAATATTTTCTTCTAATATGGAACAAGCTCTCAGCAACTTTTAGTGCAGAGGAATTACTGCAGAGGGAAGTACTGAGCTGCCAGGGCAGAATTCCACAAGGATGAGTGTTTATTCCAATGTCCTCATGCACTGAACAACCCCAGGGAAAGCAGGTACACACTGAGCAAACCTGCTGATTGCACCGATTAAGGAGGTACCACCTATATCTGGGAGGGTGAGAAAATCTGGGATACTTATGGCTGAGTGTATCTAGACCTGAAAACGTGCCTGGCCACTGATCCAGCCAGCTCTGTGAAATTCCTTGGTGGGACTGGAATCCAAATACAGATTGGTAAATTTATTACCAGGTATCCCACGAGCTAACTTGTGCGATACCCACGGGAAAAGACTTCCAATTTTATGGGAATAATCTCTGAAATCTTCCTTGTGTCAGGAGTTACTAAATCCAGAGGTCATTAATAGCACCAGGAAACCACACCTGTTAAATAACAACATCTCTGAAGAGTTACATACCTTCTAATGAGCTGTGAACTGGAGATAAATCAGCAAGTGACCTGCATGAGCAAACATTATTGATTAATAAGCTGCCACGAATTAATTTCATATTTCCAGTCCACGTAACAATGAAAAGCAGTTTGAGGACAACACTGATTTAGAGCTACATTTGTACTTTAATGCATTTTGTAATTACAAAAAAGAAACAGCTGAAGAAATCTTTTATATTTATACCCTTCCAAGCGGTGTACAGAAGGCATGCATAATTTCCAACCATAAAATACTATTTAAAAATAAAAAAGATTTATAATTGCTTTTCCTGATTTGAGAATCAAATTGAGATTTTTTTCACGTTGTCCTTCACAATCCAAACACGCTGTGAGTGACTGACTGAGCAAAGAGTGGGAGAAGGAACAATATGGCACAGCAGAAGCCAAACACAACAGGTCTGTGTTATCCTTGGAAGGATGGGGACATGGCCATGTAATTCTTCGAGTGCTTCCAGCCAAGCATCTGAAATCTGCATTGCTGCTGCTACTGAGCATTGTGATAATTAGGCAGAAGACTTACACAAATTAGAAGGTCTTCTGAGTTCAGGGGGCCCACATTTGTTTTAATTGTTTGTTTAATATTAAGTGTATCTGTAATAACCAGCCCAGGTTTCTTCCAGCCCATCAGCCACAGCCCGAGTGGAACGCAGAGGATACAAGGCCTGAAACATCCAGATGAGAAATTCTAGGCACGGCTTCCAAAAACATCACAAAAGTAGACCAAATTGCTGCAGATGCCTTCTTGAAACCTACCTCCAGGAGAAACAGAGGTGCATCCAGTGTTTTCAGCTACTTCCTTGAAAATAAAAGAGAAGGTTCGTTTTCAGATGGTGTCACTGAACATCAGGCCACTTAACTCTTATAAAACACTTAGTTTCTCACCTCGTGAGTTCTATGTTTTAAGTGCCCGTCCTTTCTCCCTCCCGGGGTTACTGACCCCACAGCATTTCTGTATTTAAACTTTTGAATTAAAGCAGCATTTCTGCTCTAACACGACACAGCACCGATATCCAAAGCTGCTCAGATATTAGCCCCGCTTCCCGTGTGAGCTGCATACCTAAACACTCCTAAGAAAAACACCCGAGCCAAGGAAAACAGATGCCATTTCTGGACGCAAAACTAATTTATTCAAGAGCATATTTCGAACGAAAAATAACCCCCTGTATCCATTTCATTTCGAGCCTCTCCCGAGGGCTCCCGCAGCAGTAACTAGGGCAGCGCTCCCCTCAGGTTTCCTGGGAGGCAAAGCCAATTTCCAGACAGCAGGACTTCCCTAATCGCCGCCGACAAGCCACCGCAGCACACGTATATTTATACAGATACACGCATCCCTTAATTTCCTTCCTTATTACAGCCTTCGCAGGTTAATTTTAATTCAGGCTTTCGATAAAATTCGGCAGGAACCTCCCGCCCCACACATTTTGGCGGGGCTGCGCCTGAGGGGAGTGTCCCCCCCCCACGCCCCTCATGGGCCATGGCGGGGCGAAG